TCTGTAAACGTAATAACCACACATAATAAATAAATAATTCCAGTATTTTTTTATATTCATAACCATTTATCAATTCCCAACCCTAGAAGTGAGGAAAGGAAAGGAAACCCTTAATGAGGACAAGGAGGAAATCTTGAGCACCTGTGTCTGTGCGATATTCTCTCTCTCTCTCTCTCTCTCTCTCATCTGCATACATTAATATCAGTTAATGCTGTGTTTTTATTGCCATCTCTGAGCTCTGCTATGCATTAAACCAGCCGTGTATTAGCACTCAGCCATTTTCCTGCACATCTCTTCTCCCATGAACGACTCTACGGGGATGAAGGAAGGGCAGACTGGCTCTTGATGCTGGTTAGTTACCCGAGTGTGCTCTCACAACCCCATTCTCCACCCTTCATCAGCCGCCGTGCGTGTTTGGCTTGTAGAAGAGCACATAAAGCAGTGAATAATACCTGCTCGTGATAATGAGTGCACTTCAGTCTGTTCTGTCTCTCCGATTTTGTGCTGCATTTTGCTCATTGAGCCATAAGAAACTTCTTGTCTGTGTGTGTTCCAGGTAATTATTCCAAATACCAGTGCTGCCGTTGAGGATTGTGTTTTCTGTACATGTGGTGTATGAAGATGATATTTTGTTCCTGATGAAAGGGGAAAAATGTTAATATTTAAAAACAGAAAAACAAACAACCACGAAGATCGATATAATCATTTTATTTGCATATATGCACATCTATTTTTAGCATTACCGTGATCATTAAAAACCTGGAAATATCAGGTCATCTGAAACACTGTTGTAGTATTTATTAATCATTTGAATTAGTGTTTATTTGTAGATTTTCCATTTAGTTTCCAGTTTACATTTTTTTATTTGTTTTTGTTTTTACTTTTTTACTTCATTTTTTTCAACTCAGTTTTGTTCATTTTATCTCAGTGAAGTACTCAATTGTAGTACTTCAACTTAAACTAAACAAGATTAAAAATTATTTATAGTATTAATATATAATATAATATTATGTATTATAAATAATTTATATAAATAGTTGAAATAAAATATTTTTTGATATTTTATTTTTTATTTGTAAGTCGCTTTGGATTAAAGCGTCTGCTAAATGAATAAATGTACATTTCTGTTCATGTTTATTTTGTTTCAGTTAATGCATTTTTTAAAGATAACAGGACTGTATTGAATATGCATTTTTAAAATTATGATCTGCTCTAAAATAATTAATTGACTAAAATATTATATTTATGATTGGAAAATTAACCAGCTTGATCACACTGAGATGCATTTAAATCTCAGTCCTTTTTGATTATTTTTTTTTTTATGGTTTATGATTCGTACCTGACATACAAATGGAAGTCTGCCATAGAATTCTCCATAAAATTATTTTTTTTAAAAGCATGTAATCACAAGTTAAAAGGTCACTCAGATTCATTGGTGAAAAATGGTAGCATCCCTGATTCTTGTCTCTATTGCTCAAGAATCAGGTTATTTGGTCTTTCATTTTCCATCAGTATATCTGATAAGAATAAGAATCGGTGAATCCCGAGGAAGCTGATTACATCTCGTCTGGACTTGTTCTGAATGCACACACCTGTTTTCAGTAGATTTCCCAGTTATGTCTGTGACAGCTGGATATCCTTCACTATGCCATCAATCACACTGGCCTACTGAGGAAGACATTAGTGCAGAGAGGAGAGGTGATTGTGTTCTGGTGCGAGGGGCACCTTCATCCATCAGCAGCTCAAGGTGACCCTGTCACGGCCTGATTAATGACTCACGGTCTGCAGAACACCAGCAGCTCAGAGCACATGCACAAAGTGCAGTCAAACCTGCTTAATGTCATTTTCAGTTGTCCATTAAACAGCAGTGATAATAACCTGAGATGACGGCAAGCACAGGTGCACAATACCTTCACTAGAGGGAGCTGTTGGCTTGTAATATATAGCGTTAAAAAGTGTGCATGCAGGATTGTTACCTGGATGCATTTCCTACTTGCATTACATTTGAAAAAGACATTACAGGTATCTACAATACAGCAGGTGTGAATGTGCGTCCATTGCGCCAAAAGGATCCTAAAAGCTCTTTATGGATTTTTTGTAGCACTTTACAACACAATGTATAGGATATGCATATGCATGTTTGCAAGCTTGGAGTTAATTAGAAAGCTAAATATGCATTTAATATGCAAATGACATCGATGTGATGATATTGTATTCTTTCAGGCATTTCCAAGGCAAGTGTAGAAATATTTAGATACTTATTGTGTTGTATTTGGTTTTTGTTAGTCAAGCAACCCAGTGCATGTACTTTTATTTAAGTAAGAAAAGGCAAAGTGCTACTAGAACATGTGAAATTATAAAACTGTGAAAGGTTAGGCACAAAGTTTGTGCATTACCTTAATGCCAGCGGTTTGCGTTTCAAAATGTTTTGTGTGTAAGCAATGATTTTATGCTAATTTTTTTTTTCCATGGAAATCTCTACATTTTGATCAGTTAGCTAAAACAATTATTGGTGATGTAACATTAAAAAAAAACACATTTCACATATGTTTGCATACTCTTTAACCTATTTTATCATTTAGACTAATCAATACCACAGTTTTTTGTAAAAAAAAAAGTCATCCAAATGTGTTGGTGAAAAATTGTAGCCTCCTCTGGCCTCTGTTGCACATGAATCAAGGGTAATGTGATGTCTAGTCTTTCATTTTCCATCAGTATGGTGATATTTGATACTTAAGAAGTTATTTTTTGCTGGACTATCTTTTTAAGCACATTTATACAAAGTAATACTTTGCTGAAAATGTTCTCACCCTCAGGCCTTCCAAGAGTTTGTTTCTTCATCAGAACGGATTTGGAGAAATTTAGCATCACTTGCTCACCAATGGATGCTCTGCAGTGAATGGGTGCCGTCAGAATGAGAGTCCAAACAGCTGATAAAAACATCACAGTAATCCACAAGTAATCCACACCACTCCAGTCCATCAGTTAACATATTTTCAAGTGAAAAGCTGAGTGTTAGTAAGAAACAAATCCATCATGTTTTAACTTTTAATGGTTGCTGTTCATGGCCAAAATATGAGTCCATAATCCATAATAAAGTTTCCTCCAGTGAAAAAGTCCATCTCCTGTTCTCCTCTCACATCAAAATCCACCCACATATTTGTTTAGAAATATTCTGGACTGTTTTGGCTTGTAAACGGTGTTTGATCTGTGCAGATTTCTCTCCTGATTCAGACCAGATGACTTTTTTTGATGACTAGAAGACTTTAGTCGGAAGTTTAAAAATGCCTTAATGATGGATTTGTTTCTGACAAACATGCAGCTTTTGGCTTCACAAGACTAATGTCTTGATGGACTGGAGTGCTGTGGATTATTGTGATGTTTTTATCAGTTGTTTGGACTCTCGTTCTGACGGCACCCATTCACTGTAGAGGATCCAAGAAACAAATCCATCATGTTTTAACTTTTAATGGTTGCTGTTCATGGCCAAAATATGAGTCCATAATCCATAATAAAGTTTCCTCCAGTGAAAAAGTCCATCTCCTGTTCTCCTCTCACATCAAAATCCACCCACATATTTGTTTAGAAATATTCTGGACTGTTTTGGCTTGTAAACGGTGTTTGATCTGTGCAGATTTCTCTCCTGATTCAGACCAGATGACTTTTTTTGATGACTAGAAGACTTTAGTCGGAAGTTTAAAAATGCCTTAATGATGGATTTGTTTCTGACAAACATGCAGCTTTTGGCTTCACAAGACTAATGTCTTGATGGACTGGAGTGCTGTGGATTATTGTGATGTTTTTATCAGTTGTTTGGACTCTCGTTCTGACGGCACCCATTCACTGCAGAGGATCCATTGGTGAGCACGTGATGCTAAATTTCTCCAAATCCGTTCTGATGAAGAAACAAACTCATCTACATCTTAGATGACCCGAGGGTGAGTAAATGTTCAGCAAATTTTAATTTCTATTCCTTTATAGCAGTAAAACTGATCAAAATGCTCGTCCTTCATATGTAATAATGCGAAACGGAGCTGGCATTTCTTGTTCGTCTTGCACACTGACCCCTTTTTAAAGTGTGTGGGAATGAAATAAGCGTCTCATTGAAGGAAGCGATTTTAAATGGACTTGACTGCAGTTTAGCTCAAATCTACATGCACACGAGAACCTTCACAGAACACTTCAAACCCAGCGCTTCTTGTCCCCGATGCACCATTATTCACCCCGTACTGATCTGTCCATCAGTGTGTGAGCTTTGATTTCTGCTGCTTGTCACTTTATGTCTCTCTCTTTGCCTCTGCTTTGCCCGCTTTATGTTGCTTTGCTCTGCTGTGCTTGTGCTTGATGGTTTGCCTTTTAATCACGACCTGCTCTCGTTTTGTTTGTTTCCTTCTTTTTTGTCATTTCCAGATTTGCATATCCATTCTTCCTACCTCCTTCATTTGCCTTTCCTTCACTGAGAATGGCAAGCGGGCATTCCACTGACAAATTCAGTTTTCTGTACCCAACAGACACCAGTCAGAACGTTAAGAGGTCAGTCTAGTGCTCAGCACCTTCCACCATGTGTGTGCATGTGTGTTTGTGGGGTTGGAACGTTATTGATGTAGTGTTCACTCTGATTCCAGCTGTTATGATGAGCCTCATATGGGCTGTATGTCATGTTTCTCTCCTCTAGGGTTTGTATGACCTTGATGTGTTTTGTCTCTCAGGTTTCTCCTGCTCGTTGCTGGTTTGTACCTCTGATCAAGCTTATTAAAGTCAACATGAAATGTCATTCATAATCATAACCCATTCTACTTTCATAATGATGATGTCGTATATTTACGGGTCTTATCCGAGTGGTTTTAAAAAAATGGCCATTATAGAATCAGGTAATTCCTGGTGAGCGGCTGAGTGATGTCACATGTAAAAGTAAGTAGACTTTGATTTCATGTTGACTTTAAAGCAATAAGGGGTGGTTATAGTCTAATCTTAATTATAATATGTTTAAAATTAAATGTATCATTTAATAAATATACAATACTGTTGAAATGTTTTGAGTCTTTATGTTCACCAAGGCTGCATCTATTTGATCAAAAATACAGAGAATATTCTAAAATATGATTACAATTTAAAATAAATGTTTTTATTGTAATATATTGTAAAATGTAATTTTTACTGTGATGCCAAGCTGAATTTTCAGCATCATTACTCCAGTCTTTATTGTATACACATGATCCTTCAGAAATCATTGTAATATGCTTATTTGGTGCTCAAAAAACATTTCATTGCATTTTTTCAGAATTGTTTGATGAATAGTAAGTTCAAAAATACTGAATTTGTTTGAAATGTAATTTACTCCTGAATAATCACAATAAACATGGTTGTGTGTGTGTGTGTGTGTATACTGACTTTTACATTGCCTTTTCAAACAGGTCTCATCCAATGCCTTATAATGTCATTTTATATCTCTAATTAAGCTCTCCTCTAGGGTTTGTATGACCTTGATGTGTTTTGTCTCTCAGGTTTCTCCTGCTCGTTGCTGGTTTGTACCTCTGATCAAGCTTATTAAAGTCAACATGAAATGTCATTCATAATCATAACCCATTCTACTTTCATAATGATGATGTCGTATATTTACGGGTCTTATCCGAGTGGTTTTAAAAAAATGGCCATTATAGAATCAGGTAATTCCTGGTGAGCGGCTGAGTGATGTCACATGTAAAAGTAAGTAGACTTTGATTTCATGTTGACTTTAAAGCAATAAGGGGTGGTTATAGTCTAATCTTAATTATAATATGTTTAAAATTAAATGTATCATTTAATAAATATACAATACTGTTGAAATGTTTTGAGTCTTTGTTCACCAAGGCTGCATCTATTTGATCAAAAATACAGAGAATATTCTAAAATATGATTACAATTTAAAATAAATGTTTTTATTGTAATATATTGTAAAATGTAATTTTTACTGTGATGCCAAGCTGAATTTTCAGCATCATTACTCCAGTCTTTATTGTATACACATGATCCTTCAGAAATCATTCTAATATGCTTATTTGGTGCTCAAAAAACATTTCATTGCATTTTTTCAGAATTGTTTGATGAATAGTAAGTTCAAAAATACTGAATTTGTTTGAAATGTAATTTACTCCTGAATAATCACAATAAACATGGTTGTGTGTGTGTGTGTGTGTGTATACTGACTTTTACAGTGCCTTTTCAAACAGGTCTCATCCAATGCCTTATAATGTCATTTTATATCTCTAATTAAGCTTATACTTGTTTATTAAAGCAATTAGCCATGAGAGGCCATGTGTTAATAATTTTACTATGGTAAAGAGATCTTGTTAAGCAACTGATCCCCCTTAAACATAGTAAAAATCACTGCAACACATGACCTCTCATGCTTTTATAAAAGACTATAAGACTGCAACTTTCCAAATAATTTTACTGTGCATTTTACATGCTGATCAAATGTTTAGGGGAATAGAAAGCTGTGGTTTATGTGTTTCATGCAGCATCAAGCCGCTTTGACTCGTAAGATGTCGTGACCTTGATCTTCCATACTTGTGTTTGTGAGTGTGTGATCATAGATCATAAATACGCTCGCTCTGACATTTCACCTCTCCCACACACGCGCTTGTGTCACACTCACGGCACATCTGAACACATGCTAACAGCTCCGTGCTCACAGCCTGTGTGGCCGAGGTGCGAGGGGAAGGTTCTGACGCATGATCCTCCCCTATTCGTGAGCTTTTCTTCCTCTATTTCTGTTTTTCCCCACGACTGACTGACTGATAATGCCAGTGTTCAGGGGAGATCAGACACACACACGTGCACGATGAGAGAGGATAACACACACATACACACTGTTTTCCGTAAGGAGCCACTCTGCTGCTGTTTTCATGCTCAGCACGTTTTCTCATTTTTAACATTGTTAGGGGATAGAAAATATGGTTTGGTCAGTATAAAAGTAATAGAAGTCTATGGACAGTCCCTACCAGTGTTGGGGAAAGTTACTTTTACAAGTAATGCATTACAATATTGCGTTACTTCCTAAAAAAGTAACTAATTACATTACTTAGTTACTTTTTATTGAAAGTAAACTAAATCTGATTTTTTTTTTTGTGAGTGAGGGAGATGAATTAATGCATGTTCACATTTATTCTAGAACTAAAGTAACATCTTACTCCCGATTTCTCTCAACAAGGGGACAGGAGAGCTTTCAATCAATAAATGGGGGAAAAAAAGTAACTGGCGTTACTTATTTGAAAAAGTAACTCAGATATTTTCTTGTAAATTAAAAAGTAATGCGTTACTTTACTAGTTACTTGAAAAAGTAATCTGATTACGTAACTCGCGTTACTTGTAATGCATTACCCCCAACACTGGTCCCTACAATTCACAGAAACAAACGTGCGTGTGTGTGTGTGTGTGTGTGTCACTCATGGCAGGTGTTTGTCTGCTACCATGGCAACCGTGGGCTCATATTTGATGTGCTCTCATTGAAGGCATTTATAATATTGCAAAAGATTTTCACTTCAAATAAATGCAGTTCCTTTGAACTTTTTATAAAAGAATCCTGAAGAAATTCAACATTGATAATACGAAATGTTTCTTGAGCAGCAAATCAGCATATTAGAATGATTTCTGAAGGATCATGTGACACTGAAGACTGGAGTAATGATGCTGAAAATTCAGCTTTGCATCACAGAAATAAATTTTATTTTAAAATATATTCAAATAAAAATCGGTTATCTTAAATTGTAATAATATTTCACAATATTACTGATTTTCTTGAATTTTTGATCAAATAAATGCAGCCTTAGTGTGCAGAAGAGGCTTCTTTAAAAATAATTTTAAAAAAACCTTACTGACCCCAAACATTGTTAGTGTAAACTACAACAGACAGGTAAATTGACATTAATGGTAATCTAGTACTTACATTCAGACGCAAGGTTTTATCATGCAAATACAACAAAATCATGTGAAAAGCTGCAGTCAAACATGTGAAGACTGTCTCAACTGAGGCTTTACAGAACCATCTAAAATGTGATCTGAGGTTAAACTGGGATTTACATAATTTTTCAAAACCAGGTAAAAATGGCCACTGAGAGGTGTTTTTGTGGTATACAGGAAATATGATGCAACTTGTGTGACTATGTAGGGCCTACAAATTTTGAGTCGTGCGTGCTGATTGTTGCAGCAGTTCATGCCTTTTAAATCAACATCAGTCTTATTAATTTGCTCTCTCTCTCTCTCTCTCTCTTTCTGTCTGTCTCTCTCAGTAAGAACAGACTGTCTTCCACCATGAACCCGGTGTACAGTCCAGTGCAGCCGGGAACCCCATACGGAAACCCCAAGAATATGGCATACACAGGTATGTGATGAGAGACACACACACGTGTATTTGAAGACAACACAACATGCTTTATTAATGTCTTACTCTATACAATTCATCAGTGCATGCTAAAGAAGAGGTTTGTTTTCATTAAAATGTAACGAGCCACCAATGAAAGGACTTTTCTGCTGATGCATCCAAGATCATAAATAATATTAGCCAATAATATCATCTACTAATGAGGTTTTCCTATTTCACTCTGAAATATATAGAGGAAGTTAAAGGTGCAAATGTTGTTGTAATGTCATCTGTAAAGGGATAGTTCACCCAAAAAAGACTGGAGTAATGATGCTGAAAATTCAGCTTCTGATCTCATGAATAAATTACATTTTAAAATATATTCAAATAGAAAACAGTTCTTGAAATTGTGGTAATACTTCACAATATTACTGATTTTACTGTGTTTTTTATTAAATAATTACAGCCTTGATGAGAATAAAAGAAAACCTTTAAAAATGAACAATTGAAAAAACCGGCCTGCGGTCCCCACGAGTGACAAAAGTTATTAAAAATAGTAAATGATGTTTATCTGAAAGTGTAACAATGCAAAGAGGTTTTCTATAAGGGGTAGGTTTAGGGTTAGGGTTGGTGTAGGGCAATAGAAAATACGGTCTGTACAGTAGAAAAACCATTACGCCTATGGAGAGTCCCCACAAGGATAGCTGACCAGACGTGTGTGTGTGTGTGTACCTGTTTTTCTATTCTGGTGGGGACTTAAACCTGAATACACACAGACTCATGGGGACTCGTGTCACGATGGGGACCTAAATTGAGGTCCCCACGGGTAAACAAGCTAATAAATCACACATAATGAAGTTTTTTGAAAATCTAAAACTGCACAAAGTTTCCTGTGAGGGGTAGGTTTAGGGTTAGGGTTGGTGTAGGGCAATAGAAAATACGGTCTGTACAGTAGAAAAACCATTACGCCTATGGAGAGTCCCCACAAGGATAGCTGACCAGACGTGTGTGTGTGTGTGTGTGTGTGTGTGTGTGTCACTCATGGCAGGTCTTTGTCTGCTGCCATGGCAACCGTGGGCTCATATTTGATGTGCTCTCATTGAAGGGATTCTCTGGGTCACTAGTGACTGTTTACATGCCAACATCTCTCTCTCTCCCTCGCTTTCAGTCTTTTCATGATGCCTTTCTGCCGTTACCAAGAGGAAAATATTATTGCTTAGAGGTTTTCTTACATACGAAGTATCAGTTTTATTTTAGAAAATTCTTTAGGAGAAATAAAAATAGAGACAGATGTGACAGTTGTTGACATACAGTGAAAGTATCTCAGTTAAGCAGTAATAATGAATGTAGAAAGCAGATTATTTCTTGACATAATTTAATGAGAATTGAATCGATACAAATTTGAGCACAATTTAAGACATTGTGGAGATCACTTCTAAAATTCTGCAAAACTCTGCGCTTATATGATTAGAAGGGAGATTTTTATTGTAAAGTCAATCTTAGTCTGGTAGCTTTGTTTTGGATCGTAAGTAGCTGGTCATTAGTTAGTCAGGGTTGTCTTGAATTTAATAATCGAACAGGATGTAGAATTGTAAATCGTATTAAATTTGAATTAAGAAGAAGAACTGAAATGTATTGAAATTCAGTACAGTTGAAATAACTGCTGTAAGTGTAGTTTTTACTGTAATACATGTCATTTCTCACTATAAATTACCCATTGACCTAATATAGGATATTAATTAATTAATACATAAATAAATAAAAATATTTATTAAAATTATATATA